CGTTGGCACGATTCCCTCGATCTCCCCCTCTCTCCCCTCTGGTCAAATCATCTTCTACCCTGGGATCCCTTGATTGCTTGGGATTGGAAAGTCACCTTATACCCCGGAGATTATCGTTTCCATTTCTGCCGTGCCTATTAAGGTAATCGCTAAGCTCCAATCCCACGTTGCGCGCGCTTTTGCTTATCTCATGGCAAAACAACGCGTGCTAAACCAAAACACTCATTTTCGTCTAACTATCCTTGCTATTCTCTCTATCATTGGCTCTTCTGATTTTACCTATGCGCGCGATTGTGTTTCACGTTTTTTTTTCGTCCAATCTGCACGCGTCCCTAGCATTAACATCTTCCCTCGTGTGTATCCAGTCGCATCTAACATATGACATATAGTCGTGCAAACTGATTTCCTTGGCTTCGGCCGGTTTTAACTACACAAATCTTCACTTCGTCTGTTCTTCCGAATTCGATCGACAAGGTAGGTTCCAAGCTGCACTTCAACTCCCGCCTTGCCAACGCATACATTCTCCCCTCTCAATACTGACCGGTCTAACCCGCCCGGATGCCTAAACTCCCTCCACTTGAACACTCTGTATTGACAGCGCATTGGTTGTTGATTCATCGCCATGATTGGCTGAGATGTTAGAATGCTAATTCTGGCCTTTTAGTGTGTCGGTGCGTGGAGCCTGAGTGAGACGCATTCTGACATCAACGCCCAGGCGTGATCTGTCGCAAGGCGAGGCTGTTAGCACCGCCCGATTCAACGCTGGACGTGGCAGAGTAAGTCTTGAAATTGCGTGAATAAGGTATCCTGCCGACCGTGCTTGAAGTATACCGCGTAGTCTCCACACCTGCCATCATCAGGTCTGTTCTGACTTGACAACGCATCAAGCCGACATCTAGTTGAGGCACCCCGGCACCGCTGCATCACAGCCCAACTACGTTACACCTGAATGTGGGCGTAAACAGCTTTGCACAAAAGAGCCAAACCCCTCTGCAAGCCGTTAGAGATTATTCTCGACAAACAAGAGGTCAAGAGTTTATATTGACGAAACACGAGACTATATTGGCTTAGAACGCGCCTGCTATTAAAGGTACGTGCCTGGTCCCGGTTGTGTTCTTTTGGTTCCCCATACCCCCACCCGCCAATCCAATGACCGCTCGGCGATGCGCTCTGCTGACGCGATGCCCCCAATCTGCAGACTATTGTCAAATCATCGGTCACCTACCCCAGCACTTGTGGTGACTCTTCGATATCGCTTTATCACATCTACCAAACAAACGTCGCCGTCAACTTTGAGATATTTGCACTCCAAAGCAATTCTTTGGGTCTGATTGGCGATCTCAGAAAATTAAGTTGCCACTTTCAGATCGATCCACTGAATTGGCGCCGCTACCTGTAGTGTGACAAGATCCACTATCACAACACGCCAGTATGGAGTACCCTCCTCAATATCAACAAGCCCATGGACAACATCCACATGGTCCCTCTCACATCCCTGGTCCTTACCAAACCGGGCCACCAAATGCCGGTCCACCTGTTGGTTCGATGGCCTCGCCCACCAACGCCCAGGCACCCATCCAACCTCACTCCGCCCACCAATCCTCTCCCATCGTTCCATCGCAGCCTCATTATCAACAAGCACAGAATGGACCTGGAGCTGTTCACCAACAAATGAACTTTCCCCAAGGGTATGGCGTCCCTGCGCCCATGGCTCAGAGCTACGGCATCTCGCCGACGCAGGCTGCCGCGATGGCCACTGCAGCTGCGTCCGGGCAGTTCTACCCTCTTCACCAGGATTCCATGGCTGGCCAGATGCCTCAAGGCTCCCGAGCCTCACCACGAATGGCGAGCATGCAAATGAAGCAGGACCGTGACCCCCGATCGCCACCACAGATGCAAAACCAGATGCCTCCTATGGGATCGCAGGTTCAGATGCCTTCAAACCAGCAACTTTCTCAACGTCGCATGAGCCATGTCGGTAGCCCCAATGTCCAGACCGCACAGCCCGTCATGAGCCACGTCGGCAGGGCCCCCATTGCTGCTCCACTTCCCCAGGCTCCCGTACAACAGAACCAGCCCTCACCCGACATGGTACCTGGCGGCAACCAAGAAGAGTCGCCGCTGTACGTCAACGCCAAGCAATTCCACAGAATTCTGAAGCGCCGCGTCGCGCGACAAAAGCTGGAGGAGCAACTCCGTTTGACATCTAAGGGTCGCAAGCCTTATCTGCATGAGTCACGACACAACCACGCCATGCGAAGACCACGTGGACCCGGTGGACGTTTCCTGACTGCAGATGAAGTGGCAGCGATGGAGAAACGACAAGAGGAAACGGGGCAGCCTGTCACCTTCGAGGACCTTAGCAAACCGTTGCCAACCGATAATGGTGGCGGACAGAAGCGCAAATCAAGCGAAGCCCACGCCGATGGCTCTAACTCTTCCAAGAAAACGAAGGCGAACGCCAGCGCCGATGGAAGCGAGGGGGACTCCGCTGAGGCCTCGGATGAAGATGGCTAATCGCCCTCATTCTCATTTTTTTCCACCCACAAGACCGTGGACACTGCACCACGTCTTGCTGAGATGACCTGCGGTATTGAATTTTTTTTTTTCTTTTGTCGTCACGGCTTTATGGATGGATGTCTTGGTTCCTTTCTCTAGCGAGCGATGTGTATGGACCCCCCCCCCCCCCTTTTCCTATGCTCTATGCCCCATTTTATGTGTTTTGGTTTGATACGCTCTTGTCTTATGTGTTTGTCTGATTTGCTTTTGCCTTGAACTCTCTTTCCCTTTTTGCCCCTGATGTCTGTTTATATTCGCTATGATGGGACGATTTATTTTTTTTCTTCATTCCCCCCTCTTGCCTATTTTACATCCTCGATCCTCTTCCTCAATGGTAACTCCCTCAGTTTACGGGAGATGCCTTGTACAAGAATGACCGTTCTAAGCATCTACACTTTCACTCTTGGAAGTGATATGTGAGACTGGAGAGATAGCATGTTCTGCTTTACTCTGCCTCGAAATTGTCTTGCCTGCCGGCCCTCATCTTATATGTAGGGCCTTCAAGGGCATTACATGGCTGTGCTTGATATGCCGCCTCACAATCTTCAGCAGTTGGCAATTGGCTAAACATTCCATCTTCACTCGGATATGCTATCCCCATATCTCGGTCCCCATGCTTATATTCACTTTCATGTTTCTATTATGAATATGCTTCTGGCAATTTCTTTCATCTTCTTCTCCTATTACATCCCCATTTCCTACTCTTCCTCCTTTCGTTCTGCTTCGGTGTCTCGTGGTGCGGGTTTATGGGTCTCCGGGTGTGATATTTAGAGAGGGTCTCATCACTGGAAAAACAGATCGGGAAATCGGTTTTCGAAAGACTGATCTTTGTTATGAATTTCATTTGAGTTTTATAGTATTGACATTTTGTTTCTCTTTTTTTCATTGGGTCTTTTTGTGTTTCGGTTAGGATCTGGCAAGGCGATGCAGGGCAAGGACGGAAATTGGATGTAGATTTTGAAACTTTGGATATATTGTGCAGATACTTATATAGGAATTTGTATTGTCTTGTTCTAGTGTTTGTCTGTATCAGTAGTCTTTAGTGTGCCTGTGTTGCAAGACTTGGAATCATAGTGTTTCTCTGTACAAGGAACACTTTGGTTGATAGCAAGCTGTGAGCTTACATCTAATATGTCTTGAAAGTGAAATTATGCACTTGCAATACTGCTATTCACCATGAACTTGATGATGTCGAATTATAAGTCTTGGTCGTCACTGGCGCATGTGTGCAACAAATGATGCTGAGTAGACATGACTATGTGTGTCGGGGCACTTTGGCAGAGGAGCAGAGGACTATTAAGCCTACCGACCCGCCCAGGGTCGTGTCCAATTGATCTGGCATTTCATGAATCTATAGGTCTGGCGATGACTATGTTGCCCGAGCAAGCTATCTCTCTAGCTGATGCTCATTCCATCCTTTTCTGACCGTTGACAGGATGACTTGTGCAATCGAAATATGTAATAGTGCTGTTTCATCTGCACCTTCGAATGGTTTGCTGGATTGAAATTGTTAGTTGAATCTCCACGCTGATCTGTTTATAGTCAGGCTCGAGAATTGATTCTACATAGCTCTGCATGTATTATGCCTACGTTCAACATTATCGCAATTTTACGTAGTGTTCAAGCATAAGAAGGAAGATCTAAGTAGTGTGACGGCCCTGGCATTATGTTCCTGCTCAAACATCTAATTATCAAGTCAATCACAAACGGTATGCAGGCTAGTAAGGTACTGAATGTCATCCACAGGTAAATACTTTTGAAATCACGTTGCAAGATAAAAGGACAAGGGGGGATGAGTGAACGGGTGTAACTATAAGCCAAAGGGGCAATAACGCACTCTTCTGGGGGTACCTAAGTGTAGGCTTCACCACCACAGGGGAGCTAAGAGGTGAAGTGTGCGACAAAAAAGGGTCTACAAGATCGAGAGATAAACGTATGGGAGGACAAGCAAGTGAAAGAGAGAAATTTGAGAGTGATTGGAATCGGAGGTGCTGAGATTCTTCCTTCCACCTAGCAAAGCTGAGTGGGGTCTTCAACTAGAACATGAAATGTGTCAAGAAAATGAACCAGGAGAAGATGAAGTCCTTCTTGTTGATACTCCACAATCAACCGAAGAAGGCGTTCGTGTCTCCTGGACATCTTGCGCTTCACTGTCAATCGCCCAGTTCCCGTCGAACCCGGGAACTTTACAATCAACCATAGTAGCGAGAGCAAACAGCAAGTGTCAGGCGCAAAATACATCAACCACAAGACCTGGTAGACACAAAGTCATGATTGAGCCAGATGCGCAGTGCCAAGAACTCTGCATAGCCATGAAAGACTGCACTTAGTGATTGAACCAAAGCACACATCAGACTTTGACACCGTCTTCTTCTAGCAACAGAATCATCCATAAGACTGCTGAATGAACACTGGTAATAGACTTTGCATTTTACCAGCTCTCATACAGCTTCCCAATCCATGGCATCGACCATGAACCCCCAGTCTGCCTCGGCGTTTGCCCCCTCTCCAGTAGCTTCCTCTGGGCGAATGCACTTATCAACATGCTCCTTTGCTCGGATATATGATTCTTCTAGGCCACCAAAGATATCAGATATGATACCCTCAAAGTCAAAGCTTGCAAGCGTCGCAATGTCCTTTCTTTCGCCTTGTTTTTCTCTCTCTTCCGTAGTCAGATCGGCTGTTTTCCACCTATTCCGCAGCTCCTTGGCCTTTTGTAATTGCAAATAGACAGTGCCACCACCAAGTACTGGGGAAAGTGGGGTCGATTGCTCCCGCAATGCCTCTAGCACATTGGCATGGTATCGATGATGACCAACCGGCCGACCGATACCATTCCCATTACCTGGCGGCCCCCGAGGCGACGATGTAACCGAAATATTAAAAATCGCCAGTAAGTGGACAATTGCACGTTCAAGCAAAGCATAATATTCGTGAAAATCAATCTTGAACATGATTTCGGCATGCGCGACGTCGTCTGCCGATACTACATCGCTCATTTCCAGAGTCGCAAGGCGGTATCCTTCAGCTAAAAATGGGAGTTTCCATCTCAGTCTAGCGACAATTTTCATGAATCGAGCCAATTCCTCGGCTGGCGGCAGCAACCGGCCACCTTGGGATGTGATAGTCGCCGGGCGGATGCTGCTGTTACCACCAGAATTGGAGTTTTTGGAGGGCCAAGGCCGAGGAGCATTTTGACTCGCCGGGTATAGTTGTTTCCCCCCAGTTCCAGGAGCCCAGCGAGAGTTGAATAGACCTGACATGGCCGTTCGATATCGTAGGTAAAATGTGGCGTGTTATGCTGATGTGATTTGGCGGGCGTGGTGGTCCTGGTCAGCCAATCAGCGGTCAGCATGGACCTTTCAAATCTTGTGCTCGTGGAAGACCCGTGGGGAAAGAGTTGAGCTCTCACAACAGGCTGTCCTTCTTCTTGCTTCCCTTCGGACGTGTCGTCTGTCAGAAATGAGAGGATATATACGTATGCATAGTATCCGCATTGTGTCTCCTGTCAACACTGTTTCCCATTCTTATTGAGCCTTGAGTAGCCTGGTGCAGTTCAGCGTGTGATTGAGTCCCACACTCAAACTACCTATGCAACTGCGTTTTCTGTCGAAAGGGTTAAGTGTAATGTCGGTGTACCGATTATGGGGTGTTGGACTTGGTCAAATTGGCCTTTTTTGTTTGAAAACGACTAGGCCAACAGGATCTGAGTCACTAAAACAAATATTATCTCAACATGGAATGTCCCCTAGATTTGATTTTCTTTCATTCTTAAACTCGCTATGACAAATACAAGCCCTTGAACGATCTATAACGAGAAGATCAGGGATTTGCTCAGAATCATTGCAAAAGTGGTCTTTTTGTCCTTCTGATATCAAAAGGGGCGTCTTCTCATAGACTACTCCGTATACTAGATACATTCTCCATCCCCAAGGAATAAGCAGAAAAAAGTGCCAAATTTTGACTACTCCGTACTTTAAGGATCTATATATATGTGGATGTGTCACTTCGTTTGCCGACGCTAGCTATGCAGTCAAGCGGAAAGTGACCTGCCGACTGACATGAATGATCAAGAGGGTTTCGAAAAACCGAAATTCTTGACAGGCCGCTGACTGGAAATAAGTCACACAGTACCGAGGCAGACTTCCATGAAGTTGATTATTGATCCACGAAGTCCATCATTGACACAACTGAAGTATCCGGGCCTCCTGTTACGGGATATGATGCTCCCATTTGGAGTTTAAGGAGAAACCACATTTCTATCCCACTTTAACCAACCTCTGCTTGCTCTTCTGATTTTACTCTCGACTTAAGAATTACAGACTCGACTTGCCAAGTTAGGGCATGCAAATGTCATTTGGCCTTGTTCCTGACAAGCCAATCAGCGGATGCCAGTCATCCCCGTACCGCCAGACCCTTTTCGGTTAAGCGCCCAGCTCTCTCCAGCCTCGTCCGCCTTCTCGGCTTCTTCCTTCTATCGCCAACTGTCGCGTTTCGCTCGAGGCTTCTTGTAGGTGGCCCTCTTCTTTCTCCAATTCGCTTTCTGTTCATTCTTTGGCTTTGTCCCTTGCCCTTTCTCTTTCTATCAGCCTCTCCTCTGACCCTGCTTCTCCATTCCCCTGCTTCATCTTCTTTTCTTCCTCTCCAAGCCGTGGCGCCAGCTGCGCATTGCTGGATTTTGTGGGCTTTGACTTCTTATATGCATAATAGCATTGGCTCTAGCCAGCAGCCTTCTTCAAAATTTCTCTTTGCTATCCGAAATCACCTGCTGCAAACATGTATCCCTGCCAAGTTCCGGGGCCAACATGTCGCCAGCAGCAGTGTGTTCTTGTCACTCTCTTTTCCCTAAGCCCCTGCCTCTGTTATTTATCGTGAACTTGCTAGCCGCCACCATCGCTATTTCGCTCTATGAAGTTGCTTGGTCTGATATTGACGATACCAAATCTTAGCTCACCCTGCGGTTCCCGACTCCCTGATCGATCAGCGCAGATTGTTTCAGCGCACTTTATCCACCTAGGCTAAGTCCTTGGGTCTATTGATACCTTGATCGCAGTGAAAGCGATAGAATACACCCATCTCGGAAGATACAGAATGGATTCCTACGATGGTTATGGGTCCCCCGGAAGGAACCGCGAGTCAGATTCTTTTATGGGACGAGCTATGGGGGAATCATACAGACGTCGGTCACCCGGTAAGTTGATGATTAAATGGTAATGGAGAGAGATGGGCGAAATTGACTCTTGACCAGCCTCCCAAGATCGACGACGTGCACGCCCACGGTCCCGTTCGCCTGTGATTGACCGTTACGAGCCTTCGGAGCGTCGTTCTCACCGCGAGGACTTTTACAACAATTCTCGGGAGCATGCTGCCCGAGAGCGCGAGGACCGCCGACGCGCCCCGTCGCCAACAGTGGCAAACATCGACCGATATGTACCTGGGCAAGACGGCAGTGGTGGTGGCAAGCGCCCCATTCCGACCAACCCTATGCCCAACCCTCTTACCCTCGATTTCCAAGTCGGCTTCAATTGGTTCGCCGAGTGGTGGAGATTGGAGGAATCCATAAACGAGGAGAAAGAGCGCGCGAGGAACGGCGGTCGTCGTGTCAAGGGCGAACGCGAGGCGCGCGAAGATCGTGAAAAGGAACGCGCACAGATCCAGGCAGCTTATGATACGTACAAGGTTGATCTGCAAATTCGCCTGGCTAGGCTGTTCGTCCAGCAGCACCGGAACGAGGAATGGTTCAAAGAACGCTATGTTCCTGAAGTCAGAGATCCTCTTCGCACCCGTCTCATGGCGGTTCGACAAGGTGCATACGAACAGTGGGAGCGTGATATTGAAAACAACCTTTTCAAGGATTTTACACTTGAAGGCATTTACAAGAGCGATAGCGACGGTGCCGGTGGCATGGTTGAAAAGGAGGAAGGCGAGACTACCGCTACAACCGAGACCATGGGAGTGCTTGACCTTCTTCCAGTCCGTGGTGGAGACCTTCGTGACGAAGCTCTTACACAGCCTGCACTCCTTATAAAAACCCTTGCACCAAACGTCAGTCGCAGCAAGATCGAGGAGTTCTGCAAGGAGCATCTTGGCGAGGAAGATGGAGGTTTCAAGGGGCTTAGCCTTAGTGACCCGAACCCTTCTAAGAAGTTCCATCGCATGGGATGGATCATGTTGCATCCTTCCACCAACACCAGTACAGTGGAGCGGGGGGATGGTCGCGATGAAGAATTCGAAAATTTGGACCAAGATGGAAGTGCCAACGGTGCTGTCACAACTAACCCGGCCGAGAAAGCTCTCGAGGCTGTTAATGACAAGACCATCCATGATTCCGTTCACGGCGACTTTGTTTGCCACGTGGGAGTCCATGTACCCCCTGCTCAGCCGCGCAAGAAGGCTCTCTGGGATCTCTTCTCCGCACCTGAGCGAATTGATCGTGATCTCGAGCTGGCCAAACGTTTGACTTCCAAGTTGGACTCCGAGATGCACATCATCGTGGATGGTTTTACCAAGATCGAAGAGTATGTTGACGACCTGCGCGGTAAAGGAGAGCTCCAATCTCCTGCTATGGGACCAGTCAGTGCGAAGAAGCAAAGAAACGGATATAGCGACGAAGGGGACGAAGGGGAGATTGAGGAAGGCGAGGAGAAGGAAACTCCAGAAGAGGAAGATGTGGATGATGAGGAACTTGCAGTTAAGAAGAAGAAGTTGGACCTGGTTGTTGAATACCTGCGCCGGGTCTACAACTTCTGCTTCTTCTGTGTGTTCGAAAGTGACTCGGTCCATGAGCTTGGCCGCAAGTGCCCTGGCGGACACCTTCGCCGTCCACGTAGCGGACTTTCCAGCCAGGCCAAGGAAGTGGCCCGAGCCAGCGCTCTTGGCCAGCCGTTCCCGGCCAAGAAGAAGGAACCTAGTGAGGAAGGGGAGGATCTTTCCTCGCCTGTCCAGGAAAAGCGCGGACAGCGCCATGGTTCCAAGTCTGAGCAGCAACTGCAGCGTGCCTTTAACTGGGTGAAGACCTTTGAAGACAAGTTGCTGCAGATCCTGGAGCCAGAGAACGTCGATCTCAGCAAGCTCGGCGGCAAGCCCGTTGACCAGGCGGTTGAAGATGAACTTCTGAAGTACATGAAGCAGGAGGACGACTCCAAGTACCGATGCAAAGCGCCTGAATGTACCAAGCTTTTCAAAGCCGAATCCTTCTGGCGTAAGCACGTCGAAAAGCGCCATGGAGAATGGTTTGAGGGAATCAAGAACGATGTAGGTGTGCAACAATCCAACACGGATTCCCAGTACTAATGATTATAATAGCTCGCATTAGTGAATGCATATGTCTTGGACCCAGCACGCATTGCCCCATCCCGCTCCGATGCCAACAGCAACGGTCACTTCCCCCTGGGCTCTGGACAAGGCCACACCGGCACTCCTCGTGGATTCAGCCTTGCCGGCCTACCCTACGCCCACAATGGAAGCATGCCTTCCTTCCCCCTAAATGGAATTCCCGGCATGATGGGTGCACACGCAGGCGGCTGGAATGGAAACACGATGGGACACGATGGCGGTCTGCACCAGCCCGGACCCATGCGCCGCGGCCAGAACCGCAACAACCGACCCAGTCCATACGATCGTCGCCGATTCAACGGCAACGGCCGACTGAGCCCTCCCCGCGGCATGCCTGGCATGTATGGTGGCCGTCTCCCGCCTTCTGGTGTCAGCATTCCAGCTGGTCACCCCGCAGCCGGCATGGCCGCCACTAACCCCTTCCCAGATTCTTCCAGCGGAGGTCCCATGGCGCCGCGCGAAGCCGTCCAGGGTCGCAGTCTGAAGAGCTACGAGGATCTGGATGCAGTCGACGCATCTGGCAGTGGCGAACTGCAGTACTAGTTGCATCTGCTGATTTGATCACCACTTTTCGCCCGTTTTCGCCCACGTGTTTTATTTTATTTTTCTTTTTCCTCCCATTGGCGACCTGGCGCATCGGAGGGACCGTCGGAGACATGCTGACTCCAACTTGCTCATTTACTGAATTCAATTATTCTCATTGATCTCTACGCGCGAACCCATGACTTTGATTTCTATTTCCTTGCTGTTTGTCATCATCCCCAACGGAATTTCCTTTTCTTCATCTTTTCCAGCATGTACAATAACCTTCCTATCAAAATCTGAAATTGAAGATTCAAAAAGCATCACATGACAATATTGCAATGCAATGCATAAGGGGGATCGATGTTGTAAGTTTTACAATTTGCCATTTACAGATCCAACACGCCCTTCTCAGAATTCCAAACCAAATACACTTCGTAGCCAATGACCATCCCCTACGGCATCTGAATTACAACCTCCTCACGCGAATCCCGCCACTGAACACCCATCCCACGAATCCGCCGCTCACTCGCCAAGAATAGTAGAAGGTAGACGTGCATGGCGATCTCACCCCATGCATAGACTTTAAGAGAGACGTGCGTGTCAGGCGAGTGCTTTGACGGGGCCGGCGTCGCCTCGAGAATGCACCAGACGCCCCATCCCGCACGTCCGTCCTTGCCTACGAAGTCCGAGAGGAAGGACCAGAAGGCGTAGAAGAGCGGAGAGGGCCAGGTCCGTGTGTCCTCTCTTGGCGGTGACTTTGGGGTCTGAATGGGATCAGTGGTTCCAGACTTGGGATTTGTGTCTAAATTAGGAAGAAGATCGGCTAAATCTCGGTCTCGGGTTGGGGGATTTTCGATGGCGAGGTGCACATGCCAGTAGCCTCGTTCTAGGGGGTCGAGGGAGCGGGTCTGGGTGGATGGTTTGTAGGTTCGTGCTGGCTTCAGACGCTCAGTGAGCATGGACAGGGTTGGAGTTATGTGGGTAGTGAACGACGCAGTGGAGATAGGGGGTCTTGGGGGGTGGATTTCTAGCGGGAGGGTGGATAGATTGATGTGATTAGGGGTATTGGCTGGGATACGATGTGAGGCATTGGCAGGGTGAGTGATGGTGCCATTTGGACCTTTTCCCGGATCTGCGCTGGTTATTTCCATGGGGGTTTGGGGGAAGCCAGTCGGAACATGGTCCTGGTTTTCGATGGTGGCCTTCTGAGATGCAGCGGGCTGGTCCATTGCAGGAGAACCTGCAATAAAAACCGGTCGAGCCGAGTTGGGCTCGGGCGGGGCTGTGCGACGTCTTTTAGAAAGTGGAGCGAGCTGCGATGGTGGCGATAGTTCTGCACGAGATCGCTCGGCGTGGACTAGTTCGTCGGCGATCCCGGGTTGGGAATCTGGGATGACGCTGATGAGACTCTCTAAGGAGTCAGGATAATTTGAGATGATGTGCTTGCGTGGAGCCGGGTCATTTTTCTCTGACAGCAAGCGATCATCCGAGGATAAGGTCGCGTGTGCGGGCCGGGGCGCCTCCCGCAAAATTGGCGAAGCCTGTTGAATCATCGAAAGCACCGAGGAATGCACGGCGCCGGAGAAGGGATACATCTGGTCTGCATTGGTGGGAGCTGAGGAGTTGCTCTCCTCTATCAGTGGCTGGCGTGAGACACACTGGAAGTCCAGGATGGCGGCAACTTGGGCCCTATAGCGTGCGTCATCCTGTGCGGTGCTCGCGGCGGCGATGTGCACTAGAATCTCGTGCGAGTCAGGGATCGAGCCGGGGACCTGGATCATTTTTCCGGTTTGATCGGACAGCTCTTCGCGATGTACACTAGTGAGACCAGGGGCCTGGGGATCGTACAATCTGTTCAGAGGATATCTCCGATCTCGATAATCTCGATACTCTCGATATGGGAGACTATTGGATGTGACTTGGAGGTCTCCAGGGTCGGGACGAATGATTGGTCGGCCTACTCGACTGATCACACTAAATTTCTCAGGTACAGGGTACCTGCAGAGTACCTGTTTTGAAGAGTTGGAATAGTTGTGGAAGATGGTACTGTTAATGTACCCATCGTTCTTATGACTCCAACGTATGGAAAGTGTTTCTTTCCCCTCCGTTTCAGTGTATTTTAGTGTATTTTAGTGTATTTTAGTGTATTTTAGTGTATTTTAGTGTATTTTAGTGTACCCCAGGCTATTCCACTCTATTCCACTCTATTTCAAGTCTCTCTCGGTCTGTTTCAGTGTGTTTCTGGTGTATTTCCAGATTACACTCTCAACCAATTCCCACCAGTTTCAGATCTATTCCGTACGAGTTCAGTTTGGCTAGTGGAGCCCTAAGACAGATCGAACGCCTCGGGATTTTCGATTTGCATAAAAATCAACTAGAGAAAAGGAATTATAAAATTGACCTAAACTGAGTTGTACAAGAACCGGCTCTATCCACTTCCTCTTAATTTGAACTCTCCAATCTCCCAAGGGCTTTCTAATTTCTCGGAATCTGCTCTCTCCTCCATCCTCGCTCAAAAATCTTATGATGGCTGTCAGTGGTGGGGTCTATCCAATGGACCATGCGATGGGGTTTTCTGGTGAGTGCAATCCTATATTTCCCTTGATCTGCTTGGGTTTCGTGATCCGGGGGGATCCAGCACCAGCTTTACTACAAAAAAAAATAGAATGCACGAGTCCAATTGACTCTGGTCGTTCAATCGCAGCTGTGCATGCTGGTGAACCTCGTGAACCTTGTGAAGGCTGGGGTGCGGGAACTGCAGCGGGGTCCCCCGGTTCGTGCCGCCCAGGAAGCTATCCAGAGCCGGCCCCTCGCTCCCTGAAGGTTCCATTACTACAAGCATCTATTCACTATTGTGTCGAATTTCTATGATAGTTGCTGATATTGTGGCACCAATGTCTCTCCGGCTTGGCCCATGGCCCCGGAGGGCACGGTGCAGGACATGGAAGATGAACCACAGACCACAGCGAGCAAAGGCTTCGGAGCCGAAATATTCAAGATCTTCGGAGGTGGTAGTGGTAGCGCAGCTAATGTAAATGGGCCGAAGAAGACCACGCGAGGTGAGTGATCCCAGTCACTCGATCGGACCACAACTCAGCCTCTCCAGACGGTCAACAGCCGAAGCGTCGCGGCCCTAAGCCGGATAGCAAGCCTGCACTCACCAGACGGCAGGAACTGAATCGCCAAGCCCAGAGGTACATAACCCGCGGATACAATTAGCCATCGGGCTGGACTGATCCATACAGAACACATCGCGAGCGAAAGGAACAATACATGAGAGCATTGGAGACCGAGGTATCTCGGTTACGGGAGGCCTATACCACAGAGATTGCGGAGGCCAACACGACAATTCAACAACACAAAGAGATAATCCATTCGATGCGAGAGGAGAACGAAATCCTGAGGAGAATCCTTGCAGCGAACGGAATCCAACACGAAGCGGATCTGGAGCGCCGCCGGGTGGAGCATCCCCCGATTATGCCCTTCCTACCGGCCCTAGTAAGCTCTAGTACTGTTGTTGGCAGCAGCACCGCGTCACAGAGTGCCCCTCTCACCCAGTCGGCCAGCAACCACAACACAACCCCTACAACTACGATCTCATCCGGCATGAGCCCCCGCGCTAATGGCATGGATCACCCCGTGGTCTCGCCTGCGATTGGATACGCTTCCCACCAGCAAGTGTACCACGCGGGTGCAGGCGAGCATTTTATGAGCATGGACCATTCGTCGTGCCAACCCATTGATACTATGCAGCCCATTCCAGTCGCACAGGGAGGTGTCTTCGAGACATACCCTCAGTTGCAGGTGGACTTTATCTTAACGTAAGGCCCATCCCAATCTACTAGCAAATGCACAAGCTAACAACTCCATGCCTATAGACTCGAGAGCCCCTGCCGCGAACACACGGACTACCTCTGCCGACGCTCGGTCACAGAAGCGGATGACGAAGACATGCCGTTTTCCGGACACGCCCTGATGGCAACATGCCCACCACCCAGCTACATCTCTAACACAACACACGAACAACCATACCCGCACATGGCGCCGGATCTCCCACACGCAAATCTGACCACACTCCTCAACCTCAGTCGACAGCTCGTGACAGAGGGACAAATCACGCCAATCATGGCGCTACAATGTCTTAAGAACCACAAGCTGTACACGGAATTGCGACGTGACGACATCAAGATCGTCATGGATACGCTCAACACTAAGGTCCGTTGTTATGGCTTCGGCGCTGTGGTCGAGGACTTTGAGTTGATAGATTGTATGAGCAGTGTGCTCGGCACCAAGGTCGATCTCAGTTTGCCGAGCACAGTCGATGACTCAATGTATGGTTGAGCAGGATCGAACGCAACGAAAATGATTACGATTTGATGTCTGTGTTGGCTACTACCACGAAGTGATTCGGCGTCTTTGCTTGCTGCCTGCCTTTCGGTTTGGGTTGTGCCTTTGAACTCCTTTTTTCAATTCTTACTAATATTCCATAATTTTCTTCTTTGGTCTTGATCTTCGACTCCCTCGTTGGGAGGGTTGTATACAAGTGATCAATCACTAAGGGTGCAGACAACAAGTTGCCTGGACATAATATTACTTTTTTTTTCGCATTGCTCTCACAGAACGATTAATCGTTCAGCTTTTCAATCTAGCTTCTGACCGTCTGAACATGCCACTCTGTTATAACGGCACTAAGATTTGTTGAATTGATTCCCCAATGGCAGCAAATGACATCTGCAGATCTATATCCAAGAGGAAGGTTGTATACAAGCCATGACCTCAACGATGGCGGAAATTCTGGCGCACATAATCACGAAAGCCCATCAAGACGCCGAGAAGACACCCAAGACTTTCTTTGTGTTCCACCGAAAGTTGTGCAAAGTTGATCACTCGTTCACGGGTGTCGCTCGTCATGGGCATCAATTTTCGGAGTCTTTGCGTCCCCACAGTGGAACCACACTATTGAATGAATAATCATCAGTCCGTGGAATCACCCGCGCAGTGGATTTAATTCAGGAAGATGGAAAAGAGAGAAAACTAATTCCACCGAATGTAGATTTCTGTATTTGTGGTAGTTGAGAGGTAAGAAATAAGGTGATTGTGTGGGGAAACGGTGAATATAGATTATGGGTCAGACTCTATAGTCAAGAGTATAAAAGCGTCAAATTTTAGGTCGAGTACGTATGCACATGGAATGAGGAACATAAGTCATCAGAAAAAAATCTACTCATCAGCCTCATCGGACTTTTCATCATCCTTCTCCTCCTCAATCTCCTCATCCTCCTCCTCGAAGGTAGTAGCGGGGACGCTGTACAGACGCAGGACGGACTTGTTGGGGTCCTTGATGAGAACGTACTTCTTAACCGTCTCAGCGGGCTCGTCGGAGTCAAGAGAACGGATACGGTCAACAATAGTACGGACAATACCCCAACCATTACCGAGGTTAAGGTTCATCTGGCTAGCGAACTCGCGGGGCTTGTAGCCAGCAACGCCGAGAACGACGTGGGCAGCAGCAGAGCGGGGGTTGACACGAGAGACGAAGCCAAGCTTCATGCCGTCAGCCTTGGCAAGGATAGCCTGGGTAGTCCAGCGGGCAAGTTTGGCGCTGTTGTTCTTCATCTCGGTAGCGAGGACGGCACCACGCTGAGAGTTGAGCTTGCTGCGCCAGTCGAGGGCGCCGCCAGAGCCCTGGGCCTTGGGGTCGAACTCGTTCAGGGCCTTGATGATGAGGTGCTGGTCCTCGGTTCCGGTGGGGCCGCCCTTCATGACGGCGTCGACCTCTGTACGGACGACCATGGAGACGGGCTCCTCGTCGCGCTCGAGGGAGATGTCGAAGCGGCGGTACTTGTAACCCTTGGAGGCGAGGGGCTCGGTCTCCTCGGTCTCGTCGTAGAAGGGGTTGGGCATGGCGAAAGGAACCTTGGACTTGTCGGACTCAATGAGAGTCTGCAGAGCAAAGTTGTGGTTGATGATGGTGGCCTCCATGGCGAGGGCGTTGGGGGTATTAATCTGCTCCAGCTTGCCGGCGGCCTCGGCGGCCTCGAGAGGCGCGTCGATGGCGTTCTCGTTGACGCTGACCATGTCGAAGGAGGCACCGTCACGCTTGTCGAAGTAGATCTTGTCGCCTTGGTGGACGATGACGATATCCCAGGAGTAGACACTGCGGGTGGCGCACATCAGCATGGACAGGATATCGGAGGTAGCGAAGACGGTAGCGGCGTTCTTCTCGGAGAGCTCGTTGATGACGGGATCCTGGGATGTGGTAACGTTGTAGGCAGCACGGTCGAGGGCCTGGATTCTACGCTCGGCGTTCTTCACGGGGGGTTTGTCGAAGGACTTGTCGTAGTAGTGGAGGAAACCGTAGGTCTCGAGGTCCTCGCCCTCGGGAGCATCGAGGTTCAGCTTGGACAGACGGGTGAAGTCAACCTCCTCGAGCATCTTCCAGTCAGGACGAATGTTGACAGAGGCCTCACGAATACGCTGGGGCTTGTCATAATCTCTCCAGCCGAAACGACGGCCACCACGGCCACCACGGCCACCGCCACGGTCACTGAATTGGTAGCCGCTCTGCTGACCGCGGCCAACATTAGGACCGGCACGCTGGAAGCCACCACGTCCACCACGCTGGTTGGCAGCGCCGCGCTGACCACCACGGCCGCGGAAAACGGTGCCACCGCCACGACCGAAACCGCGCTTCTGGACGCGAGTGTTATCAACGACGGAGAAGGAGGACTCGTCCTCGGCGGCTGCGACAGTGAAGAGGTTGGAGGAGCCGGCGCCATACACCTGCTGGTCTATTTGGACCGTTAGCCATTGCTATCCGACTGAAAGAACAAATTGGTAGGGACGGAGAAAATATGCAAGGTACCTACCTCTGAAGCCGCGGTTGTACTGGGGACGCTGGTTTTGACGCTCCTTGGTCTCAGCAGTCCAGTCAGCCATGCGGCCAAGCTTGTCGCCCTTGGAGAAAGGAGCGTATGGCACGCCCGAAAGCATGCTATCGGCAGAGGTGGAGGGGCCCCAGGTGTCCTCCGAGGGGAGGCTGGCCACCAGGTCGGCGAGAGAAGTGGAAGGCATTTTTAAAATGATCTATGGGCAACTTGCGCTGGGCAACTGCTCAAAAATCAAAAAAAATTAAAAGATAGAGGGGCTGGTTGATCGGTAACCCCGGGGAATGTGGTGTGGATTAATTGAGGCGGGAATTTTTTGTGTCGCGAGGGTGTGGCGGTGTGGCCAAATGGCACCGCCACAAGAAGCACCGCCACATGTTTCCATATCAGCCCTGGTCACTTTTGTTCATCTTCGTTGTAGCCGGGATAGGATTTGATCCGAATTTCTGGAGGCTTGAGGTATCTTTCAGGACAGTCAAAATAATCCTCATGGCTAAGAATGATCATCATGGCCTGACGCTATACCCGCCACGATGATACCATCCTTCTGGCGCTCACACAGCTTTCAATTGATAAACAAGACTTTCTTGATTCCCCTAAATGCCAAGAAGAGATTATTTGAGATGCTGACCTGAACTTTCAGGTGATAGAATAAGCCGAGGTACAAGATTGATATCTACGTTTCATGTTGGATCCAAAATGTTCACGTAACTCATTCAAATACTCGGATCAAGATCGTCATGAACAATGACGACAATCAGGGGTAGCTGAAATGTACTCCGTACAAAAAATTGATTTGTCCAATGGACAACAATGGACATCTAGATTGACTGCACATAGGTCAGTATACCAGTTCCTTGGTGCCCATGAGCTAGTTTGACATTGTGCAATCAATGGTGCGAGACTTGTCTCGAGATGTCTCGTTTGTCTTCTCTGAATCTGTGTCTAGCGTATCATGCGCTCGAAGCAGATGGAAATGACAAATCGCAAGCCAACTTCATGAAATTTCAGACTGCGGAGACAGCGAATGCCGCTACCGATTACGGAGCAGACTTGCTTTTTGTCCATTGGTTGAGTCCTGCGGCTGGTTGATACATCGATTGAGTGACAGGTTCTACCAGCTCCTTGCAGTAGATAGGTATCTTGGCAGCTATGATTCTCCCGGAAACCCGGTCCACTGATAAGAAACTCTCCGATCCGGAGAGATGGAGAGGAAAAAGCCGGGGGCTTGCCCCGCTGGCTATTGGACCTGTTCACTGACTTGACGTTGATTTGAGCCAGTGGCTGCAAATCTTTTTATGATATTTGAGCATGGACTAAGATTGATCGACAGCCAAGACAGCTCGCTTGGACCCCATGTGAATCATGGATGTTCGCATCATGAACGATGTAGGATCCCATCTAAGGTACTGATTCACTCCTCCAGTAACAGAAACTGCCTTCGGTCCCCTTGGTACCTCGTTCAGACGTCGAAGCCTCTCAATTGGCCTATTTCATTTGGGCCAAATGCTTTCTAGAGTTTTGCAGATCGTCTTGTTCACCGAGATGGGGACTACTCGGATAGCTCACGTCTACAACTCACAAGTGGATATTTACGCAATCCAACCTCGGTTATAGTGGTACTCAACTATTAGACATAGGGTCGTGTCGGAAGCAATTGATGCCTTGGGTATCTTGTCGAAACCTATATAAGGACTAGGATATTCCAGAGATTCTAGACATCATCAACGATCGCAATCCTCTCTGCATCAGAACAGTTATCACTTTTTTCTTCTTCTAACTAATAGATCGAACCCCTCATTAAAATGAGACTCTCCATGCTTTCCGTCTTCTCTCTTGTCGGCGCCGGCATGGTGTCCGCCTTTCCCCAGGAACCCAACCTCTCCGTTAAGCGCTCTGATGCTTCGACCTGTGTCGGCCCTCTCCTGTGCTGTGGTACTCTTACCACTCCTCTCGACCCCCCTTGTTGACCCCCTCCTGTTGGCTCTTGGGATTGATGCCGCCAACATCGTTGGATCTGTTGGTCTTCTCTGTATGTTTCAACTGTCGTGCAATATTTAATAGTGAAAATTTTTTCTAACATTTCCGTCACAGGCCACGGATACGAGGAATCCAGCTGTGACACAACGCCCCAGTGCTGTACCGAGGCCAACTTACTGGTAGGGGATCATCTTCACTAAGGACTCTTCCGTGGACATATCATGACTAACCTATCCCTAGGGTGGCACTCTTGCCCTCGGATGCGCGGATTTCAATTAGATCCAACCTTAAAAAACGTTGACATGTACATATTAATGTTTTTACGCCAAACTTGATGCGGCTGTTTGTCTTTTAAGGATGTACATTGTTTTCCGGTGAATCAAGTCACCTTCTGCTTGGATATTTACATTGTTTAAATTGTAGTAAACAATTATTACTTTAAACAGTAGCAATCAGATTTGTAGACATTATAGTGTCGGCCAAAGTTTGGCATTCACTTGTGCGCTTGGTCAGAATGACTTTCCCACGCAAGATGATGCACAGAGGCTACGGTTACGGTCGCGTAAGTCAGTTGACCTTACTTAAGGGAGAGATCAAAGGCTGATAACTTCTAGCAAATGTCTTGGCATTCTTCAGAGGGTTTGATCGAGATGTTTGGTTGCTTAGTGCCAACGAGGTTGTTTTCTCAATGGAAAAGCCTGAGAAGCTCCACATCATAGGCGCCACCATCGAATACTCGAGCCCAGTGCCTTTTCTGCAAGATAGCTCTTGACAAAGACTGCTCTTAAAGTCCTTGCTTTGTTCAACTGTAATCTTTCACCAAACACACTAGGACGCACCCTTGACTTCCCCGAGGATCTTACGCACTTCACAATGAAAGGCTCATAGCCAGACCCGCGCGATACGCTCGCTAGCAGGAGATACCATAACGGTATTTTTTACCGAGCTCACCTAGTCAAGTAAATTTAGTGTTGATGTATTCATGAAGAACGATTCGGACTTAAGAAAGAGCAGCGCATCTCAAAAGCCACTTGAATAATGATTCTATGTCATGCAAAAAAAGCTGCATAGGCAAAATTCAAAGTGGCATAAGGGACAGCGTGGAAAGCACAATCAGTACCTTGGCAACTCCATTTTTGGGGGGGTTTTTCTTACTACTGACCCTCATAGCCTGTAATTTGGAAGTACACCATCCCCTGTGTGCCTTGACTATCTTTCTCGTCAGTTTTACCTCTCAATTTTAAGAGAAAGCTCTTCTCAAGTTGAAAGTGATACCAAATTTCAAATGAAAAACCTGAAGAAATCGCAGTGCATATTGGGGGTATATGCCCTGTAAATCGTGGCAGTTTCATACGTCTAGAAGAACAGAATGTGCCCCCACATATGAAACCACTCTGAAGTAAGCAACATCTTCATCAGTGACTTTTCCGCGACACTTAAGGGCTCTCTTAAGCACTCCGAAATTCCTCCGAGGCCGTATGTTCGTTGTTATTGCTATCTACGTTGGCATGTGCCACGTGGAACACATCTACAGAATGGAATGCATGGCTCCGGTCATACAAACTGACACAATGCTATCCATATATCCTTCTTTCCTTCCCATATTCTCGACCAGCACGGGCTAGCCCTATGTCTATGCGAAGACACAGGACTTGGTTAGATGTGATTTTGACCTAGCCAATCATTGGGATGAGATTGGCGATAATTGAGTCTTCTTGTAAGTCGAGGACTTCCCCGATCGCAAAAATGGTCGGAGGCCCAACAGGATCCAAACTGGAGAGGTCGAAAAATGGAGCATCAGATACCGACCTCAAATTCTTGTCGTCGACAAACTTCCTTTTAAAATTTGGCTCTTCGGGTCTCGTTACTTCTTCTTCAATCTATATCTCTTCTGAAATAGGAAAAAGGTGAGCCTAGCGGTTCTATGGCATTTCAGCTTTCCTCGTACTTGGCATGATGCCAAGCCTGATTGCGACCTGATGAACTTGATACTCCGATGTTTTGTTCTTCTTTCCCTTTCGTCCAAAATTTTGTAACCTACTTCCCTACAGAGATAGATGCCTTGTTTGCTAGGTTTTATCTAGCTATTCAGCTACTATTAAGTCTTTGATTATCTCCTCTCTTTACTCTAAAGTAGCCAGGCATAGACCAGATGTGTTTCTCAACCGAATGTTCTTGTGGTTTTTAAGCCCAAAGCCAAAAAAAAACTGTTTTTTTTTTGAAGAGAAGACGCGTAAATCTCCGAAGTTCTCAGAGAAGTGGAAAAGCGCGCGAGCAAAAACAAATATGCTAGAACTTGTGAATCCGGTCCGCAGCATAACCGAGTTCTTCCAGGACTCCCTTCTGGCTGGAAGTCCACCCCTTACTTCCGAAAATTGCTGCCTCCATAGCGGGAGGCCCACACAGGAAGATCTTAGTAGTCTTACTATCTTTCGGACCCAGCAACTCCTTCTCCAATAACTCCTTGTCAACCCTGCCCTTGGTGAACGGAGAACCCTCAACAGGGTCTGAGACTCTATAGACGACTTGGAGACGACCAGGAAACTTCTGCTCAAATGCATCAAGTTCTTTCTTCAAGACCAGATCCTTGTCCGTGTTGACTCCGAAAATCAATTTGATCTTGCTTCTGTCGTCGGGGTTGTTCAATATTCCTTGGATCAGCTGATACATGGGAGTGATGCCAGCACCTCCAGCAATGAGATTGATATGGTCGAACTCGTTGGTTCTCCATTTGTAACTCTGCATAGGTCCACGGATGTTTAGCGTGTCACCCAGTTGCAGAGAGTGCAAGTATGCGCTTGCCCTGCCGTTGGGGTATTTTTTGACCAGGAGCTCAACGTACCCTGGCTCATCTACAGATGTAGGTTAGCATAAAGGAGAATTCATGTCATTGATTTTCTCGGAGATTGGACTCCAGCGTCTTACCAAAGTTGTTAATTGGGGTGTAGGGCCTAATTACAGGGAACCATGCGTCCTTTGGCTTATGAAACGTGAGGATAAATGCTAAAACCGACATTAGGCGTTGTTTCCATTGATCATCCGTGGAAGTACAGGGCAGCTTACAGGCCAAGCAGAGGCCAGCGTTCGAGGCTGGGTCTGGTAGTTGAAAGCGCAGGCGCTTGGTGTTCTCATTTAATTGTTGGGAACTCTCCAAACGCAGGGTGTGAAACCCCATTCTCCCACCAGGGCGAAATATAGGGCCAACATGATCCCCACAGAGCTTTGGGGACTCTGCAAATGCTTCATTGCGGAACGAGGCTTTTCGAGCAGCGCATAGTCCAACCACACCAATAACAGCGATTGCGACGGCTGTCTTCCGAGCAAAGGGGAGTACTCTAGACATGATAAGATTGGCTGAAAAAGTAGAAAAAAAAGAGGAAAGAAGGAGACAAAGTTGGGATATTTGAACATGGGGCCATCGGGCCTTGTATACGATAATCCGAACATCCCTACAGCTTCGTCGCTTGTAGCCTATTGGGACTCCAATATTTGGATTAGCTTATTACAATTGCAAGCGCTAGTCAGTTATAGGAATAGCTAGTTAGTGCGCCCCCGAATCATCGGAGCTTAATAAATTACACCTCGAGCTCAACACGGGGTTTGTAGTGACCGGCTAAACCCGACGGTCACATGAGGCGACACTTTACTTTTTAGATCACGCATTCTCATCTCTCCATGAATGCATATGTGTCTAAAGACCAAGAATCTTTTGATTGAAACTATAGATTTATGGGCCTACCCTCTGAGGCTGAATTGCATTTTGAGCCTCACTGTAGTCGAAATGGCCCAAACCAGAGAGGAAGGACATATTTGGCGGACCCTCAACCTCAAAGCCCCCAGGCTGCGGAAGTTGTGTGGGAAGCCGAGATCAAAGATTTATAGCCCTTGTCTATCTCTTCTACGTCCTCAACAGTGGTTCCAGGCTTAGGGCCTTGATGGACTTGAGATGGGAGACTTTGTTTCCAGTAACTATGAAATCCATTGCTCATGCCACCTAGCGAGAGAGGGCTAGGAGACAGTGGCAACCCAGGATGCTCGTAGGAGGAGGGGATGGAGGTGGCATTGTATTGGGTAAGGTAAACGTTCGCTCTTGAGGTTCTTGTTCAAAACTCGCCCACAAATGGGAAAGATTTATAACTTCTTGGCTGAATCATGAACGAACTCATGATAGGATGACCAATCCTTTGCATAATTTTGACCGACGAAGATTGCTTAGGTCATTCTTCTCCACTCCTCTGTCTCGTTGGGATTCATCTGTCGTAGTCAAATGGTGCAGAGATGGTCGGCTTTGGTCGGCTTTTGTGTCCCAAGAACCCCTGTCACTCTGTAGCAGAGCAGCAACCGTGGTCTTCAGAACGAGCATCACGGAGGATGTCACTCCCTGTTTCCCCTACATTCTTTACATAACATCTTGTAACAATTACCATTACCATCACTGTTCTTGATTTTCAACCCATTTAGATCTATTGTGTCCACGAGATGTCCTCATCGCCGGTATAATTGTCCCAACCACCCCTTAGAGGATAGAACAAATAAGATACAAAAGGAGCCAGTTCCGGCATTGATATCACACAGCCAAGGTACTCACTTAAGCCTCCCAGGGATAACACTTTAATCTCGCCTGCCGGTCCTTCGAAAAATGCACGCAAGCCCTCGACGAACTGAAGCAAGAGGAAATTGCGACGGGAAACATATCAAACGTACAGTTTGATGTGATAGACGCGACACCGATCCAAGTAGCAACGGCAATGTGTAGGAGTTACTCGGACATCTTGATATGTTAATGAACAACGCCAGAGTGGCGAGTCGACCCCTAGACATCAAGACCCGACTTTAACCCTGCATTGGATAACAATGTCATTAGACCGGTAGTCCTGTTGACCACCTTCCGGTCTTTGCTCTTGCAGTCGCCGAATCCCTACTCCATCTACGTGAGCAGCGGGGTCGGATTCCACATCGATGATGTTCCAAGGGTCCGTCGAGTGAGGAGGCCTATCGCGCCAGTAAATCCGCTCTGGACATGATGTTGATTCAGGATTTGGTCAAGAGTCGCGAAACAGTGCTTAAAGTCTTTACGGTTTGTCCGGGCTTTGTTCGGTCGAATCTACGCAGAACGAGTGGGGAGGAGCACAGAGGATGGAGACATGCGAGTGATCCGTCGATATCAAAAAGACCTCACTGAATAACCTCGAGGGATAGAGGAATTCCGATGTTGGCAATCTGATCTACAAGGATGGTAGCTTTACTTGGTGATGTTCAAACATCTTTAGTAGGTCACAAGAGAACATCAGTCATCATGCACTTGCTTCTTCCGGGGGAGTTTGAGAAATTTGCTCAATCTCGTAGACCCAAAGTCCTTATTAGAAGCTCTGCCCAATCTGCCGTCTCGTAACGTCTTCCCTGCTCAATGAGGTCTTCCAATTGACGAAATTGAGATAGGCCTTCGGCTTACTGCCAAGCAACTGAAGTCTTACTCAATTCAAGCCCCCATACCTCTCGATAGACAATGTCAAAGTGCTAGCGAAACCGAGAGATCTGTCAATTCAACTAGGTAATTGTTCTACGCCTGAACGCCCTGGGCGCCGCTGCTCTACTTTCTTTGGTTTCGTACTGTCGGATGCGTTACCTGAACAATAAAATTGACCAGCCCGGCTCTCAGTTACAACTAAATGAGGATCTTACAGCTACTACCAAGCGGTCGCATTGATAATCAAGTGTAATGCCTATGTGTCAGGCTTGTTGTCATGACCGTATAAATTTATAGCTCTTGCGTCTCTTGGGATATTAACTCGTGCCGCAATTCTATCTCACGTCCGGTATTTAGATCAATTTCTTTTCTCAACGAAATTTTGTATCACAAGATAGCCTCAATTATTTTCCTTATTACTGGCGCCAGCCGCGGTATCAGCAAAGGTATTTTAGAACTGTACCTGCAGAAGCCTAACCACACCGTGATTGCCGTAAACCGAGACCCAAGCCACCCGACTTCTGATGCCTTGGCCGATCTGCCAAAGGCTGAAGGCACTACTCTAGAGATCATCAAGCTCTATGCTCTCTCTCAGACTGACCCAGCTGCGGCAGTGAAGGCATTAGCTGCTAAGGGAATCACCCACATCGACATCCTGGTTGCTAACGCTGGGATCGCTCTTTCTTGGCCAAAGGTATCGGAGGTCAAAGTTAAAGAAACCCAGAAGCACACCGATGTCAATTTGTATGGCTTCATCCATCTCTACCAGGCGTTCCGACCCGTTTTAAAGGAGGCCCAGGCCCCCAAGTTGGTGCCGATTGGGTCTGGCTCCGCTTTCCTGATGGTAAGTCCCGTTAGGAAGTTTTCTAGGACCTAGACAAGGTGCTAACACTATCCATAATAAGTTTAGCAGGTGGCACCTACTCTGGGCCTGAACGAGCGTACTTACCATTCCTAGGAACTTTATCCCCATGCAAATTGCTGCATATGCCCCAACCAAACTTGCTCTGCACTGGTACACCAAGGCAATCTCTGCTGAAAATCCTTGGTTGAACGCGTTCCCTTTGGATACGGGGTAAGTTTCACATTTTTCCCAGTGTTCCGGATTGGTGCTCTGACCATGCCACCGAGAATAGCTGGGTGCAGACTGAGCTCGGTAACCGAGGCGCCAATTCTTTTGGGGTCGAGAAAGCTGCCATCACCGTAGAAGAAAGTGCTTCCGGTGTGGTTAAGGTAATTGATGCATCTACATTGCAAACTCACAAGTTGAAAGCTTTTCGAGTATGATGGTATTAAGGAGCCTTGGTAGATACTTGCCAATTGGTCCAATAGCTACATTTAGAATTCATGAAGCAGCTATAATAAGATAATCCTTTTGAAGCCCTATTGCTAAATGCTCGTAGCTTTTCAAATGATGTTGCATGTTAGATATGATTGAGATAGGTGCCGCCATTTGGTGTGAAAGGTACCACAAGATTCTGACTGCAGTTCATCCATGCCTGATGTTTGTATATGAGTAGACCAGCTGGGTTGAGGTTGAAGTCTAGAGTGACAGGATATGAAGCGCTGCACCAAGGTGGAACGATAGCATTTGACTTTGGGATGTGTCTGACTCGCACATGTGTATTGTTGGTACTTATGCGTTGCATCGACCAAATGAGGCAGATGACTTCTCATAATTGTATCGGTCAATGCTCAGATCGCTGGATTTGTCGCATAGTTTCCCCACAAAATAAGGTGGTGTGTCAATGGTGGATTGGTCATGGTAACCAGGCTCGTCGTTTGTTTCGTAGGTATAGGGAAGTTCCAGTTCCTCCAGCTCTTGGATAAATGGGTTGAATTCTGCTTCGATAGCAGACTCTCCGCTGTCAAAAAGTGAAACAGAGTAGAGTAGAAAAAGGTCCCTAGTGATTCCGAGGGAAGATTGATTCAAGGTAAGCCACCACTTTGTCGTTACCGGTCCATCAGCGGCAAACCATTTTCTGCATACGGGCATTTCTGTGCTTAAGCAGTGATAGCTGTGCCCTCCTGGACGAGGATCAAGATTCCAGCCTCAAACACTCTATCCACGTGCACGTGCATTGGGGTCCAGCCAATATTGTCGTACACATCAAGGTCCAAATTTCAAATTCCATTCGTACTTGGCGCGATTCTCGAGCAGTTGCTGGAGAATCCCAATTCACCGATGTAAGACAGCCCAGCGCAGTGCAGAGCGACCATCACAATCATACAAGGCTATTCGAGCACCGTGGGAGAGTTGTTATAGGCGGACTACAGGCTCTTGATGCTCAATAATCGCATGTATCAAGGGTGTGCGACCTTCACTATCTTGATTGTTTGCATCCATGTCACCGCGGAGTAGTAGAATTCGAACAACCCTCTGGTGGCCCTTTTGGGCGGCGATGTGGAGCGTGCCAATCCATCCCTAGTCACTTTTGGCCAAAGTAGTGAGTTCTAACACCGTATCATCATTGTGTAGTTGGGGTGGCTCGGTGCCCAAACTCTCCGAGCAAATATCAGAATCAGGTGTTCTGCAATTTAATGGCAGGCTTTTGTTATCCGCGGTTCGAGACAGCGACCTCAATTGATCGCGTGCTGTACAGTTGAAGGGTATTTTGCTTGAAGCGGGGTGGGTGAATTTACTTGCGGTGAACTTCGCTCCAGTCAAGCTTTGGACACTGTCTCTGTGCCAGCGATCGGGGGTTCGATTGTAGACTAAGCTCGTAAGGGTTCATTGTAAAATCCCCTCTGTTTGCGGTCGATTTCGATTGTGGTAGGTCCCAAGACGTCATTAGAGCGTCATAGTAGCGTCATTGTCCACCACCTTCCGCTTCCTCTCCTCCATCATCACAATTTTATCAGCAGGAGATTCGACGCCGATTATTGAATAATGGCCACTACAGCAGAATTTGCGCTGGTCTAGGCGATTTTGAACACATTGCCGCTCGACAGTATCGCTAATAAACTAGGCATTGAAATTAATATTCACTCAAGTCTGTGCCAATAAGCAATGATGAGAATCCTTGATCCCCAGAAATTCAACCTCAGATTGATTTGAAAAGAGGGCCCTCGCGTTCACGATAAGAGCCAAGTGGGGCCAGAATCTCTTAACCAGCCTCTTAACGCCACGCTTGTCAAAGAGGGGCTACGTTTGTCTCGGCCAGGATTCAGTTGCGAGGCTGCATGCTGTCCCGGATTCGGAAGGCGGCCCTCTCAAGGCGGCATGAGACTCCGTGTCAACATTCTTTCTTCATTCATCCCTATTTATCCAATCAACATCTTTCAGGGCTTCGGGCTTTTTGCGCCATCTAGTTCTACCAAAAAATTCACTCCGCAGGGTTTGAGATGAGCGTCCAATGAAGCGCTCGCATTGTGAAGCTGTTGGAAATTCCATGTGCTCAAAGGAGTTGATTAAGGTGCTTTGATAATCAACACGGCCCGTAGCCGTAGTTGAGGATGCTAGAGGATATGCTCTAACCTGCAGTCGACATCCGGCCATCTCTATCGTGGTGATGAAGTTCGACTTTCAATGTTTGTGCAAGTCGGCTGACAGGAGGTCAAATCTTATTTTCTGATAATGGTCTGCACGGGTTCGCCTTTGAACACCGGAAAATCAGTTTGCTACACTTGATACCACTGAAGCCTGACGATAATCAATCTACATAGATATCAAACTCAAGGTTGCCCATAAGTGGTCGTCTATTGCCTTTTTGGGGCTTTAAGGGCTTAATAGGAAGTCTCCCAACGGGGCCATAGGTAAATGTTATCCCTCAGATGGCACATCTTCCTTTCTTTACTCTCAAAACCAAATGTGCTGAGGCTAAAGAGGACGATAGGTTCTTTATCTGGGGTAGCTACTCTGGAGAAGTGGTGACCTGCTATGGCGCATTTTTAAGCAAACCTTTGTTAAATTACCAAGAACATCATCGACGCTCGAGACCTGTGGATTATGAACATGGGGATAGTTCACTAGTGATGCAATTTAACTCTTAGTGCCAGCGACAACATATTGCTTCTCAGTCTTGAGGCTGTTAAGCGTGTCCTCATTGAGGTTGAGTGTATCCGCAACGATCTGTTTTGGCGTGGATGCAATCCATTGACCAAGAGCTATGTCTGCTAACCGTCAGTGCATGGAAGTGCAAGCGTATGGCAAGGAAGAAAGGCATACCAGAAAACTCAGGCGCCTGGAGTACCTCCAAAAAGACCAAGTCTTCATCGCCGGTATTCTCAACGTAATGGCTGTTAGACTTTGGAAAGTAACCAACATCACCAGCAGCGAAGTCAAATGTATTTGCAGCATTCGGGGCAGTGAAAAGCGTTGCTCGGCCCTGTCCCGAAATAAAGAAAGTCCATTCGTCGCTAGTTGGATGCCAGTGGATTTCACGCATGCCACCGGGATGAACAGTAACAATAGCGGCGGAAAAGTTGCTGGCAATGGGAAAAGTAAGCGGGTCGATAATCTTGACTGACCCGCCAGCGACTTCATGGGCCGGCTGCTCGGAGAGGTGGTATGAATAACTCTGAGCCCGAGGTACGATCCCAGCACTTGTTGTCACATTCTGTTTCTGGATGTCCTTCGGGGCAGGCGTGCCCTTGAAAATGTATAGTTCGTCATTGGGGATCTTGTCAAAGGCTGCTACATCAACTCCGAAGTTCTTCGAGAGAACCTCTCTCTACGTTGAGGGTTAGCTAATTTGTTTTTTTTTGTGTTCAGTTCAAAATTCGCTTTGATTTACCGGGGTGTGGAGGAAGACCTCTGTTGCGAGGAATGTATTATCTTCGTTAAAGCCTCCATCATCGAACACCAGAAGGAACTCGACTCCATCGTCGAGAGCTTGAATAGAATGAGGAACCCCACTGATGATGAACAATTAGCATTTACCCTTAGTCATTCAGATCACAATACTCACGGTGGGAAGAACCACACATCGCCGGCAGTAAGGTCATCGGCAAATGTCTCCCCGTTTTCGTTTACAGCCTGGCGGTCTGATCAGTAGTTATTTTAAAAAGTTCAAAACTTGCAAATACCTGGATTCGACAAGATCCATTCAACACCAAAGACCACTCTGCAGCCACATGCCAGTGGAGTTCACGGTAACCGGCAGGGGCCAGACGCATATCGACGCCGGCCATAAGCGTCGCATCCGGCATCACTTTTGTGTTCTCTTGGCGAGCCCAACCCGCCCCTTCGATTCCAAGTCTTTTTTTTTTAAAAAAAAAAAGATTAGCATTTGCAATATCTTTGTTCGGAAATGACAGAATACCTGTTGTGGCTCAACCCTAGCACATAGTAAGCGAATTATACCTTTCTCCGGGGAGACACGGCGACTTACCCATTGGCCACTGCGCATTTATCGTCTCTCCATGGTCAGTTCCGGGCGGTGCGAGCTTATCACTATTGATTCTGTCGTAATAGTAGTTTCCTGCAATTCATCTCAGTGTACTCAGTATCTAGTCAAATTCCAACATGACATTGACGGCACTCATACTCGGACCAGGATCATCAGAACCCGTAGGACCACGGATCGGCTGGGGATTGTCGGCCTTTTCAAAATCGAGATATGACCCAATCTTGGGATCTTCCTTCTGTCCTGGAACAAGAGTATATTCGATGTCAGGTCGCAAGTCGCTGTCACTTTTATAGTCTGGCGAATATCCAACGAGCGAATCGCTTCCTCGGAGGCCAGGATTGGGGCTATCTCTGCGAGCAGGTGCACCATGCACCAAGGGTAACACGACAGGAAGTAGAGCAACAAGGAGTTGGAACTTCATCTTGAAATTCAAAAATAGCTCGGGGAGCAACTGAGAAGAAATAGGTTGAACCAGAATGAACAGCTCTCTATCACGTACCAGGGGTCTTTTATAACATGAGATTAGTGAACACAATTTCAGCATTATCGATCCGAGGCTTATGCATCTACTCCAGCATTGCATCATCACTTCTCATTAATTGGGTGGAGGACATTCGCAGAATGGAGCTGGGGGTCCCCTCTTGCCAACGCCAAACGACGCGAGGCAGCGGAGCATCGGCTCCGAGGTACCTGGTACGATTTATAATTAGCTGCCAGGAGATATAGCCATCGGCAGGGAGGCGCGATGCAGACACTTCAATGGATCGGGGATAGGGAGGCCTTAGTGCCCCTCACTTACAGCAATCAGCATATGTTTTTCAGTTAATCCAGCACTCCCCGGGGTTGGTTTAAAATTAGCTAGGAATGTTAGAAGGTCCGGGACCATCACCCTACTGCACCTTGTCAGAATACCAACCGAAGCCGGAATGGGGATGTGAACGATTACCTACTCGGTGTTGGTGGGCCCTAGCGGAGGATAAAATCTCACTGGATCACAGTTTGCAAAATGAAGCATCTGTTCCATGACAATTACATATAAAGATACTTTTGCACAAAACAGTTGCCCCCCCAACTCTCTCAAGGCTCAGACTAGCTCAAGTATGATGTAAGAAAATTCAGATCATACAAGGTTAGTTTAATCGATCTACGACTTGGAGAATTGTGGATAAGTGTAAAGAGCGTCTTGAAAAAAGCACTACAACTAAACCATGAGATCTAAAAGTCCAACTGTTCTGCTCATTAAAGCAGACTTACTCATTCTAACCAAGATTGATACTATATGAACAAAACTTCATTTCGCCATACAATCCTTCTTCATTTCTCCCCAACTAGTTGAAGAACTGCGAAAATTGAAATTACGGTGACATCGCGTATAATTATCTTTGGAATGAAGTTGTCATACAAAGACTGAATTTAGCCAATTCCGATCCGGTGAGATTTTTGTCATTCGTTCGGCCCACCAACACCGGGTATGTTGGTGTTGGTGTGGGCTTGCCACGATTGCTATGTATAGAAGCGATAGCTGCGGGCAATTGAGGGTGAGCTGGCTAGTACAAAATCCTCCCGACCTCGGGGTGTCGCAAGCTTCCCTCGAGCCAATCCGAATGTTAAGAAAACTAAAACTATGTCTGCTCTGTATGAGTAAGGACACGGTCGGAAAAAGCAAGGTTCTCTCTAACAATGCCTGTAGGATCCAGGCTGCGTCGGTTTGCCAACAAAGTGTATTATCACGCCACGAAATTTAAACGTATTATACGAAAAGAGTTTTGAATGATATTGATCCACAATAGACTAGTTGGACGGTATCTTGGGTATCTGCTAAGCTTCTTAGCCAAGGATGCCGAGAAACGCTATTGTGTCCCGGGGGCTGCGTCGGGGACTCGTAGGGTGGATACTCAAGTTCCCCGCAACAGATGGGCCCTGGCCTATCCTCCGAGGGAGTTGATAGATCACAATAATTCCTGGTTGTCTGCATTTCTTAGCCAATGGCTTGACTGTCACAGCACAATTTTCGGCCTTCAGTATGTATCGAGTAATTTGCTCATGGGCAGGCATGCCTCCAGGTATGAATCACACAGTAGAGAACTAGAGTCGAATTGCTAGAAGGTTAGGTTCCTTAACTAATGAGCTCTCTAGTTAGATGACCAAAAACCAAATATAGATCGACTATTAATAGAACCAGTGGAGGGGTAAAAGCGCTATAGACTTAGTTCCGTTGTTCTAGAGGTGGTCCTCGTGGCGGACGGTCCTCAAGCTCCACCCATAATACAGAAGTTGAAAAACAATTTGCTATTCAATGAAAGGTGTACGTCCATGGCCGGCAATACAAAAAGATGAGATGATCGAAACCTATGGTCTAGAACTTAGGCTTCTCAGCTTTTCAATCTCATCCTCGATTGTGCCATCTACGCCAAAGTCTTAGTTGACGTCTCCTAACAGGTTGGTTATGAGCTTGGGAACTCTTTCATGACCTTTCCTTTTCCATTGGAGTCATCATTAATTTCTGGCTCCTCCCTTTGAAACGCGTTTAGCTGTTTACAAATTGGATTGGCCATTGACTAAATCCTTAGAATTTTACATCGCATCCAACGATCCAGCCACCATGCGAAGCATCTCACATTTATCCCAGAAAGGGTGGGGTGGGTAATGTAAGATAAGAGATCTTTTTCGCGTGTAATGCTCGATGACTGGGTTAGTGATATTAAAACCTTCTTGTTTATGATGATCAATACACTTCCTACCATTCCGTCATTATTACCACGTACTCTTCAAAATTCATTATCATCGTCGGCACTTCGGCAGAACAATGTCTTTGTTACCATGAGATGCGAAAACTCGACGAATTAAACGAACGACGCACTCTACACTATAGGCCTGGGAGTGCTTTAAGACATCCATCATCATACTGTCTATTTAGGGTAAAGTAGCCCTAGAAGCAAAAACGCCAGGTTTATCTTGTTACCCTACCGTGAAGATGCGAACTATTGACCAAGCAAAAGAAAGAAAGGCCCAGCCTGGGGCTCGAAGAGTTCTTCCTGTCACGCAAAACTACCCAATAAAACACCGTTTTTTTTTCAATAGATCCATGGCGACATGTGATACAAGGGGTATTGTATGTGAATAGCAGTGGAAAACATGCGTGAGGGTTGTAGAGTCATACATTCGAGCCAAATAGGCATCAGTGACTGAATTGAGCTTTCTACCGAGCAAAACGCTTGAGATATCGCATAGTGAGGCATAAAGCCGCCATGCTGGTGTATAGACTGCCGCCAGCAGTGATCCAAACAGGACGGTGGACGCTGAGGGAAGTGAGCAGGAAGTTGGCTTCCTTGGGCTGTCTCTCGCCTTTTTGTCGTCTTAGTATATCTGAATATCAGGTGGAAGATAGATGAAACGGTTGGAAGACAAGAGAGAAGACCCTACCTTGCTGGAAGATACGCTGGCGCAGGTTATTCAGACCCTGCCTTGAGCGGGCAGGGAGAGCCTGCAGTTGTTGTAGGATGGGACCCATAGCTGCCGACATCTTGGCTGTAGTGTTGTGGATACAGTGTCGATGGAAAACTGTGGTTGATGCTGTAATTCCGATGTAGGTTGATGGAGGGTAGAGTTTCTTGGAAGGCAAAGAAGCACAGAAGCCGCTAGAGAGATATGAAGAAAGGACTTACATATACTGGCATCATCTGACTGAATGCGGGGTTTAGAGTCACTCAGAACTTGGAACTGAGTGAGAGGTAACATCTAGGGCATCCTTGTACGCTGGCAAGCCAATGGTCGTGATGTGCCACGCAACCTTGGAGTCTTCAAGTAAGTTTCAGGATCCATGTGTCCTCTGATAGCTTAGGTGACCTCGAATTGATATTGTGGTGATGATTCAAGTCTGTCAGTTTATGCCATGGATTGTGATATCTCCTGCGAAGTACAGCTCTGTGGACAAAAAGTGTAAACTCTAAAAGTAACTCAACGGTTGAACTGTTTAAAGAAAGACAACCGCCTGTTCAATTAATAGTGGGAAGTGCCAGTCGATCATGATGGGGCCGCATTAGCCCTCTTCCCAACACCCTCTTAGGTTGTGTCGAAGCGGTCTTATTTCGCTTGGACTATATGCGATTGGCTAGGTTTCCCATCGGACGCAAACCAAAAGCACGAAGAATCCATGAAGATTGTGGTAGTGCAAGTATCTGTGTGCGCTGAGCTACTTACAACCGCCGTGTACATTGTGACACACAGACAACCAGGGGGATGTTGGACTGAGACGATCATCCTGCTGCAGGCGGGCTCCCCTGAAATGCGACACACAGAGGAGGCTATGCGGAAGCATTTTATCTATGATCTTTCACACACCTCCATCGTTGCTATTTACACGCTTACAGGTCCCATGATAACTCGATCAAAGTGGAATGTTGTGGAGTCCGGAGCATTGGCCCGGTCCCACCCAAATCCGGGGCATTGCGGGGTTGGTGGACCTTGCTGAGCTTAGATTGACAGTATGAACTCCTGAAATCCTTCAAGGCCGGACTGGATAGTTGCACTGGGCTGATTTTATGGATCACAGTGTTCAAGACAGGGAAAATTTGAACTCCCAAGTCTCTCATCGTGGAACATTAAAAGGAATGCTTCATCGTCCAATTGCTTGAGACAGGAAGGCCTGTGGTAGATATACCTCATCACCTGACAGCTAACTGTACCTGAAGAAAAAAGAGGATTAGGGCAAGGGCAGTCACAAAGCTGGCTCGACTTCCTAAGGGTCTGCAAATTTGGGGGAAAGATCAATCCGAGAACAGAACTATAGAGAGCCAATACCAATAGAAATACACTAGGTCCAAAAGATAAAGCCGGAGACGAAGTCATTCCGAATGCTGTTTTCCTTGGACCGTATCAATACTTGCGAGAAATTTATCATTCAAAACTCAGAGTATACGACTGGACGCAGTATCCATGAAACCTGTCTGTCCTGTATCGACAAGCGAAAGTGAGATTGGGGGAATCCTATAAACCACAAAACTAGAGGTCACAGAGAACATCAACAACTACCAGCCTATGCAATCTTCAGGAACCATACAGATGTGAACTAAATGTCAAACCAAGGGTGTTTAGGAAGTAACGTTGATGGTCCTAATGCTTGGTCACTGCAGCGTGTATCCTTAGTCTCCGGCACTCTTGGAGGGTTCGCTCAGTCCCGTGGTAACGAATCAACTTGGGAGGATTTTTTGTACTGAAGATGGAAGAGTTGGGATTTTCACAAGGTAATGCTGGGGGGCAACTGGGCCAGAGCGATCTTCAATCTCGACAACTCGACTTACACGTGGTAAATTTAGCCATTGACTGATCTTCTGTCAGAGCTGTCTCATTTGAAATTAAAGGGAAACTAAAAATCCAGTGGTCTGGTGTGTCTCAGACTATCGGGATGTAGCAAGGCCGTGCAGACAAAACATGACAAATGTTTCATAGTTGGATGCAGTCTCACCTAAAACCAGTTCGTCAACGACGGCCAAGAAAAGAATTCAAAGAGGCCACTCAGAAGCATCTCAATATGAATATGGAAATGAGCAAAACAATCAACTACCTTCATATGTTTGTGAATTACCTGAGTCTGTTTCAGGTGGTCTCGACCCAACTGCTCTCAGAGATTTACATGAAGTTTTGTTGGGCTACATCGGTTTTTTTGTAGAGTAAAATGTACACACATACATAACCAAACATAAGCTAACCCATTTCCATCATGTCTGGATTCAAACCTCGCGGGACGCGACATATCTGACGTGCATCATCAGGGACAGTTGTCCAAATGACCTGGCTGACTTCCCTGCCAACCTGGTCGATCGCGTCCATCGCCCAAAGTACATCGAGATGCTCATATTCTTCTATGATTTTCGAATGAACGAGACTCACATGGGGCTCCCGGCCGCTTTGGAGGCGATTCAGAAGCCGGCGACCATCAACAAGATCGTCAGCGCCTCCAATCCAGAGAGCAAACGGCGGTGTTCTTGGGCCATACCAAGGGCTCGGGGCCGGGGTTCCCAAGCATGCGTCTCCGGGATTGTCCCCATGATCAGAAACGGGGTCTCGTAAATGCGGGCTTGCGTTCGTCCCTTGGAAGAGCTCCTCATCTGTAGATAGAATGCATTTATGTTTCGCGAAACTGTCGCTTCCCAGCCACCAGCGCATCGACTCGGCGCTAACATAAACAGGAGCAAATTGAAACATTCTATGGCGCAGATCACGCTCCCAGCGCGTGTCTGACCAGTCAAACAAAAAGGAGAACACCCAGTATGCTAGGGTTCCATAAATCCTAGACGGGAGTAAACGTCGAGCGGTCATCATGAACGGAATGAAAGAATGGATCCCGAAAATAACTCGAAATATCGTTGGAGAGATACGGCTCATGAATCGGAAATACGGTCTGCTCACAAGAGGACCGGCATATGCAGCCGGCGCAAGCGCGCAGAAAACCGAAATGTATTCACTCAACTCAGGACGATGTTCCTTGGCTAGAGCAACAAAGGTCTGCGTGGTTCCCTGGGAGTGACAAACAAGGCCCAGCTTCTCGAACCCAGTCTCGTAGAGAACACGCGAAGTGAGCGCTGCAAGGTCCAAGGTCCCGAGATGTCGCACGTCCCAAGACCACATACGCGGATCGTCGGTAGATAGAGTTGTATGCTCTGGATGGGACCCGCAACGGTTATTCCCTAACCAAACGTCATAACCGCACTTGCAGAGGTAAAATGCCAGACTATCCTCGTCATTGGCACAGAAAGCACCAGCACTTTGCAGCAATCCGTGGACCAGGAGAACAGGATACCGACGGTTAGAGTGTGGACGAGATGTGATCCGAGTTCTCGGTTTAGTGAAAACTTCGGGTCCACGCTCACGCCGCTCTTCTGGTGATAGCGCCTCATACTCCCGTGGATTGTACACATGCCATAGTGTGATGATAAACCCGTCCTCAGTCTGGACACGAAATGTTTCCACATCGAGACCAACTCGGCGAGCATAGTATGCGACGTCGCCAACCACAGGGTCCTTGCCTCCTTCCAACGACGGGCATTCTTGACATTCTTCGAGTCCCTGTTCCTCGTCCATATCCCTCTTCTGCTGACGTAGAGTCCATCTTCGATCGGCATTAGCCCGCGCCTTCCTGCGCGCCTGTTCCTCGGTGTAGAACGACCTCCTCGTGTTTGGGTTGTGACCGCTCCATCGCAGACGAGCTTCTGAAAATGCGATTCTGGCTGCGTGGACCAGGGCCCCAACAAATATGACCGTCAAAAAGCATAGCGACAGGGTGAAAGAGGCGACGATGAACATATAGTATCGAACCATGCGCAAGGCAGATAGGGGGCCATACGATGGCATTTGTGGGAAAAGGGGGTGTTCTGCGGTCAGGAAATGAAGGCCGGACGAAGGTTGATTGTCTCTAAACGATGATGTCCCGGCGAAGCTCATGGCCGACACATCCTTGCTATCTCCAACCACCGTCGCCCCGTTCCCTTCCGTCTCGAGTTGTATCCTGTCGAATTGAACGTCTCGCATGGCTGCGGCCTGACTCGTTTCCGCTCGTGCGGAAAATGTGAGGCGTTCGAGCGGAATTGTTGTGACCGACATTGTCATGAGTTTCAACAATCATCCAGGATAAAAACAGGACATTATGATGTCTGTGTCTAGACTCTAGGAATGTCGAATAGAGTACGGAGTCCAAGAGTCCTAGACATCACCTAGCATCACAGTAGATTGCTGCCATGCATGCCAAGACCGTTGACCGAGTTATATCACGTGGTTCTCTCGGAAACAGATATGTGAGTGTGGATCCAATTAGCCAATTGGAGATCACCATGTGCACTGAGCTATGAATAGAATGACGATGGCGATCGTAGACAACAATTTGTTAGTAAAAGGTCTAATCTGAATAAGATTACCAGGATATAACTCACTCAAGAATGGGCATGGGGTTTAATTATGCCTAATGTGCCATGAAGAATTATCAAAGCATCGATGACCAGAGGCAGCATAGAGTTGACTCAAAAGATGTCACCAGGGAGTTGAGGGCTCTTCACGATCCATCCTTCCATACAGACTATGGCTCCAAGGAGAATTATTCTACTAGCAAATTACAGAGGGAAATTTGGGGTCCTCCATCCCTGCGGCGCATACGAACTGTCCGCAATGGCAAAAACAATAAGCCCAGCTGCCGGGATCGAAAGACACGCGCGAGACCAATCCATCTGGGTTCCTAGTTCTCTCATCTCTGAATTATCGCGCGGAATGGACAAGAATGATAAGGCTGATGTGACGGCGGAGAGAATTGCTCTGAAGAAGAACAATCTCCAGGTGAGATGTTTATTCACTAACAGAGTCCAGAGAAGAAAAATGCCCACGAAGAATCCCAGTGCAGCACATGCGCCGTAGATACTAAATACGCTGTTCTTTCTAAGTCTCGGTCTGTATGTCCTGCCAAGAATCATCGTTCTTGATGGGGGAAAAAAAGCAGCCAGAACAAAGCCCTGGAATGCTCGGCAGATAATCAACATCGCCCAGGTTTGAGAGACACCGCTCAAAGATCGGCGATCTCATGAGCAAAATAGCCCCGCTGCTATAAAATATCTACCCAATATAACGGTTAACTTACTGAAGATCAAGAGCGTCGAGGTCACGACCAGCGATAATGCCATAGATGGCCATGCATGTAGCCCATGTAGCCGAGGCTTCTGGAAGGTCAAGCTCTTTTACAAGCTTTGGAAAACTTGCCGAAACACTAGCTCGCTTCAAATCCAATGCCGAGGACAAGACGTTGAATGATGCAATATATGTTTCTGTGGGCTATGATGGTCTGCTATGAAGACAAAGAGGGCGTCCCAAAATTTTGCGCTTAGAATAAGGGGCTTGAGAAGGAAGATGGTAGATTTCTGGCCAGGTGAGAAAATGATGTCTGGGAATAATCGCGAGGAAAGGTTCGAAATGGATCATATTAGATCTTGTTTGCTTGTATTTGTGACTGAACCCCAGTCAGGGTAAGCCTCAGATGAGGATACGTTTGCCATGTTCAACCTCGTCGCGGGACATCGGTGGCCACGGATCACTACCTATCTTGAGCCCCTAAAGCTGGTTTTTTTAATCTAATATAGATTCGGGCTCATTCAATAGTTTTCCAAAGCCCTGTAAGCAAGCAGAACAAGTCTTGACGACTCCACCTTTGCAGAGTCGAGAGTTGGAGGATGACAATGGGCTTTTGTTTGCTTTACCGCTAGACCAGTTCCTACGAGCAAACCTCGAAAACCGAAAAAAAAAATGAAAGGACGAGGTTTGTCTCAGGTGTGTAGGCAGGGATGCGCCTATTCCCCGAGCTTCATCATCAGAGCCTGAGCCGGAGCAATTCAAATAGACGGAAGCATCAACAGCTTGCGCAATTTCATCAGACCTTTCCTAAAAATCTTCGTCTTAATATAATGTCGCAATATGAGGTTACCTCAAAGTACCGCCAGCTTGATGAAGAACTGCGATCCGATGGACTCTATCGGTGTCAACATGGTACCTACGCTATCTTATTTATCCCATGCTCAGCTCATTTTAATCTGTAATTGACTTATGTTGAACGAAATACAGCGTACTTTTCCACTAGACCATAACAAAAACCAAGGTTCCTGTTTATGGCCTAGGGAGGCCGTATTTGAGGTTTTTTTTGACAACTTATCTTAATTCCTTCTCTTGCGCTCTTATTATGGAATTAACCTGGTTGTGGTAAAGATGATCTTATAACTATGGAATTGTTGCGTAGGATAAGTACGCTGCTTAATAATACATATGTACCGGATAATCCCTGGCACTCGAGATCTTTCCCTTTCCAGTTTAGTGCTCACCCCTTGCCGCTTTTTGATCACTGAGTAAGACTGAGCACGTCCCTGAGTGCTCTGACCTGATCACGTGTCATTACATAATCAATATGATCTGCTCACTGATCATCATCTGAGCGCCCTGATTTGCTCACTGAGTGCTCACTGAGTGTAGGGATGTGCGGCCTGAGTAAGCTACATCAATAAAATGCGACACGCTAATCCCATCACGTGCAACCCTTCCAATTTATGTTGTGGATCGTCCCATCAAAAAAGGACTGGCGCCGTCAACGTGACCGTTCATCCCAGCGGTCTCGATTCCATCCAAGTAAAAACCTCACAGTGGGGCTGTTCAATTGACCTATCATATTCCATTTCACCCTATGCTCCTGGGAATACCCCTCGGAATACCCTAATTGGGCTTTGAGCTACTACCAGGGTGAAGGCGATTGAATGGGTTTCCTTGAAGATCTAGAACCCCTCCCTGTATCGGCAACTTAAGGAATTAGTTTTCAGCAGGTGACGATGATTGAGCCACTTCTCTCGCCAATGAACGCACGACCCGAAGGATTTCCTGGGCGGATAACGTCATATCTTTCACGCCATTGCTGAGTAATCTGCAAGCCGAAGACAAACCAACAACAATAATCCTCGATGAGTTAGTTCCTAGGAGCCTACCATACATTCCAAGGAACCCACTAAGCTGTATTACCAGAGTCCTAAGGGCCCATAACTATTTCGTTTGAATCCTAGGAACTCTCAACATTGCCCCCCACCCCTAGCATTTCTGCCTAAAGCGATGCCATTTCAAAAAGTATGTCCAATGATGAGAGAAGCGTAGCATTGGCTATAGAAAACGAAATATTGTTGGCAGTTGTTGAAATAAACAAGTGGCAACATATAATTCAGGACAGGCGGCTGGCACTCCAGCGCATCACTCATGAGGCCGAAGGTCAGGCCATCGGAATACAACAATCTCGAAATTTCTGGAAGGAATTTTGTCTAGAATCCGTTGGCTACAAAATGGACTAAATTCGAACGCAGCCAGTTATCTCAACCCCAAGCTGTCCTCAAGGACTAACTCAGACTATTCATAAGTTTCAAACCGTCAGCAAGTTTATCCCTCCCCAATTATTCCGTTCGGACAAAGCCTAATGTGACATCATTATGCAGATTTTTCCGATGCCGTAGAGGACAACGAAAGCTTGCTTACAATGGGAAGTTATCCCAAAGCCAGACGTGGAAGTAGACGCCTTTCAACGTTGGGGGGATCCAAGATTAAAGGGCGATTGCATGCTATAGCGTGAGGCAGTTGACAGTTTTGAAGTCCGGCACTGCTGAATGCCACCGAAATAAACACAGTTCGCGATACTGCAGAAACCCTTCAAGCCACTGATTGTTAGGACAGGTTTTACATATGCTTGATGCTTGAGTTCTGATTTTGCGATAAGCTCCAAAGGCCCAAATGAAAGATGTTACTAGGCTCTATTCTCGTATTCGGGGTAGGGGCCTTGTACAGTACTGGCCCGGGCGCTCACAGACTTGCGGTGTCGCTTCTGTCGACCCGAAAGAGAGAGAGAGAGAGAGAGA